TCGGAAAAGCAAGGTGTACGAACAATTTTGTGAGTAACTGTATATATGGATAATTGGAAGTTTATCCACAGCGTGGGTCAAACTTGTAAGTGCCTTTTTTTCGTCCCATCATTTTCAATTGCTAGAGCCACTCGAAAATCAAATCGCAAACGACATCAACAGCGACAGCAGCAGCAAAGTATTGAAGAGTTCCGGGCGATATTCAATTCATCCTTTGAAGTGTCCATATCCATCTAAGCGTACCACTTGCCTTCGCTTTGTTGTTCAATAGATTTTGACATCATGAACAACCATAAAAAGCAAATTGTGAATTCGAATTATCGGCAAAAGTTTGCAATTGCTTGAAACATGCTTTTTCAGGCACATCATTTTTTCTCCTCGGTTCACCACAATATCGAACAATTTGAAGGACCAATGATCTCGTCATGCGCCAAAAAAACAAATTGTGACTCAAATGCTAACATGAATATTGGTTTCGCAGCCGCTTTTATTGGGGCTCATTCATTTAGTTCAAAAATTATCTAAAACACCCCAATGTCTTTAACGGCATATCAAAATCAATGAGCCGTGTCGATTGCTTAATATTTAATCAGCAGCTTGGTATTGATTGATTTGAAAATTTGATTAAAATTTTAAACGGTTGTGCCTTGAAAAAATTGAAATGTCCTGGAACAAATGGAAAAATTTGAAAAATCGAACACTTTGGAAATCATCTAGGGGCTACACGCGATTTTGCAGAACGCAAATAGCTCTGAAAAAATCTAAATAATAGTGAATCAAACCTTCAACCGAAAATTTGAACTAATTTTGAAGGATTTTGGTGGATTACGGTGAATATTGGAACATTTTTTGACTATACAATCTGCACTAATTTACTGGCATGCACGTCAATCTCAAATATCTATGTATATTTAATAATATTCATTAGACTGTAATGTCAAAAAATATTCCAATATTCACCGTTATCTACCAAAATCGTTCAAATTTACGGTTGAAGGTTTGATTCACTACTATTTGCTACAATTTTTATTTTTCATACGTATACACGTAAATTTGACATATCTATGTATATTCAGTAATATTCATTTGCCGTTCACGATGAATATTGTTGAATATACGTGGATATTTCGGATTTACATGCATACCATTGATTTTCTAAGTTATTACTTGATGCGTGTGAATATAAAAGATGAAAAAAATGATTTTACCCCCTAGGAAATCATTCGTTATCGCAATTATTCATTCGACGTATTTAGATATGGTTAATTTCTTTGCCTTTCTCTTCTAAGAATAGCAAATTTCGAAAGGTTTTTTTTTACATATTTTGTAGCGCGAATAATTCAGTTAACGTCTTCGTGCGTTTTTCTTCGAAAAAAAAAATGGGAATCAGGACATCGAAAAAAATCAATAGCTTGAAAGTCATGTGTTGGACGTTGTTATCAATATTGGTGCTTTGGATCATTCCATCCACAAATGTGTATGTTTTAGGTATCGTTGTTTTTCCTCTGTTAGTCAACACAACCGTCAATCAATTAATCAGAGCCAATAAGTTTGTTCATAGCCAGCGCACGGCTGCCACCAAAATTAAAATTTAATTATTACGTTTGTTTCTATGCCACACACTTTTTCATTACGTTACGATGGTGCCAATTTTAGGTGTATGTTGTTGCGCGCTGCTGCTTGATTCCATTTTTTTCTAATGACTTTTCTGTTCGGCTTTCAGCTTTTTCACGTTCTTCTCCGGCAGTGATCCCGCTTCCGTTCTCCGAGCAACTATGTGCACCGCTATGCATAAATGGAATTAAATCGCGAAAAATATGTGTGTTTATGGAGGCTTATTCACATGGAACATGTGTTATAGTTTGAATTGGTTTCAAGATTGAAATGAATGCGTGCTATTGCGCGTGGGCCATTCGATACCCCATTGGAATGCGTACGAGCACATAAAATCTCACAAATTTGTTTGTTCACTTTGATGTGGACACGCACACATTTTTTTCTCTGCTGGTATTACCATGAAATTCCATGATAGCAACCGTTCAAATTCCATATCGTAACCCATTTCCATTGTTGTTGATGTTTTTGTTTTGGCCACTGTTGTTGTTATTTCAACGCAGAAAATCACTGCAACTGATATATAAAATGGACAATCCGTGTGCATTCTTCAAATACACACAATGCAAAACACCATAGAAATTACTGTTTGCTGGATGAATATATTGCTGTTTGCAACAGAGTGATGATAACTCAAATAAACTCCCGCACAATTCAGTAAAGTTAGTAACGCCGCAGCCAATCGAGTATTGATTCGTTGAATTCAAGCGCCACAGACATATCTATTTTGAAAATCCAAACGACCGATAAAAATAATATTTGAAATACAGTCCAGTGGAACACCCATTGCAGCGAGCAATATTTTATCAGTTTTGTTTTGCGAGCGGAGAGATTTAGCATGGTCTTTACATCAATTTCGACATCTATTTGCTTGGTGCCATAACAGTATGTGGCACACAGTCTGTTAAAATAAGAAGCCATAATTGGCATAGATAAACGACATAGGTTATAAAAATCGGATTGAAGCCAAACAATTGACTCAATGTTGATTAACTTAGTATGTCTGATCGATTTAGTCAATGAATAAAATTTCCGACACACACAACACGAAAACGACGAATCGAAAAGGAAAAAGCGAAAACGAATCAACATCAAAATCGATTGCTCAAAAATTCATTGGAAGGAGAGATGGTGAGGGCTGTATGGCAAACCATTCGAAATGGATGAATTAAATTATTTATACGAAAAAAAAGCGGAAAATGGAATATACATTATTTTCTTTTACTGACTTTACTTTTTGATGCATACGTTATTCAACACTGGATGCCATTTCGATTTGACTGGCATTTTCCGCGTCAACGTCTCTGTTTTCGTTCGAAAGCCACTTCTCCCCCTCTCTCTCTCTCTCTCCTTCAGTCGCTTTCTCACTCGCTCTCTCTGTGTGCCTCCTTCTTCAAATGCACATACTCGCACAGAATAAAAATATCCAAACTCCTGAAATATTTACACAAAATCGAAAGCAACAGATTTTAAAGCCTCGCAAATTATTTACAAGAGTCACGAGAGCGAATATTTTCATTTATTTGCTGAAATGCGATAAATACAGAATTGATTTATTCTTAAGTCTCATTTGAATGATTCGAAGTTATTCAATTATATCGCAATTATTTTGTATAAAATTTCTCTCCCCTTTGCTCTTCTCCAAAAAATGCGATTGCTTTGCCAAACACGTGCTGACTTTTTGAAGTTTGGCTTATATTCCGCAGTCAAAATGTCGAAACGGAGCATTTTAAGTGACGCACGAATCAACCGGAAGGAAGAAAAGAATCTCGTCAACAATTGTGCTGATCTAAAATTTGATTTCTTCTCGAGCGATTGCGGCCTCTTATAATTGTGATCATTTTCACAGAGATAAGCAACGGGAATGTGAATCAACATTCACAGATTAATCGTTTCCTAAGCATAACTTTATTTCGATTAGAAGAAGAGCTGAATATTGTATGTAGGGGATCTAAAAGAACCTAAAATGACGGAAGCACGTAGAAATGGCAAAACGTTGTTAGGTCGCCATAAAGTTAATCCACTGACCATTATCTGTTTACACAAAAATGTGGAATGTACATCCAGGAAAAGGAGCAGAACAAAAACGAAACTCGGTGTATGGTAAAACACTTACCTTGAACACTTCCCAAACGGAAGAGAACGGTAGAACAGCAATGCCAACTAGTAAATCAGCAACGGCCAAGCTGACAATGAAGAAGTTTGTAACACTTCTCAATTTATGGGAGCAAAATACAGCTGCAATCACCAAGCAGTTACCAACAATCACCAAAACATTTATAAATGCTAGACAGGCTAGCGACACCAAATTTCCCGGTTCTGTCCATTTTACCGAATCTATGTCCGTACAGTTACTCATTGCTACTATGTCCGAACTAGTGTTTTGTTTTTACCACCTGGAAGAAGAAGAAAACGAACGATGGAAACGGGAAAAGGAACACAAATGAAATGTGGCATTTGATAAGAAAATGAAGACGAATACAATGGAAAATAATGACCAAACCCAGAGTCGAAAAAAAGTAGAAGAAATTCATACGAAAAAAAAACTCAGCGAAAGATTATGGATCGGAAGCCCGTATAAAGACGTTTTTTCTTCTTCTTTTTCCTTTGTCAAATTTTTTTTTCGTTAGACTGTAGATTGTATGCTTTCATACTTTACCTTTAATCCAATGCCATCTGTTTTTGCTTAAGTCTATTCGTTTCATTTTAAAGGTACTAAAACAAGAACGATAAAATTTCTCCCAAGCACTTAGCGATCTTTTATAGCTACATCGTTAACATTTATAATCCAGATTTTGCATATTATTCAGTGTGGCAGCAGTCTGAAAGTAAAGAAGAGAACAACCAGAGTGTGAGTAAGAGAGAGCGTAAGAAAAAAAAAAGAACGTGATATTGAAAGCAAAATATGAATAATAGGGTAAAATGTTTAAATCTTTTTATCATGATGCGCACCGCGCTTGCGGCATGTAGCACTTGTTGCCTTGTACTCTAATTTGTAAATTGTTATTAACGATTACGACTTTTAAATGCGTTAAATGTGTACGGGAAATTTTCGACACTATTAGGTAGCAAAGGATTTTCCAAGCTGAGCGTGTGCGCAGCTCACACACACACGCACACATTGGAAATGAGTCGTGCTATTGGTTTTGATCTGATTCTGAAAGTAGGAAATCAGCGTGTTGTCTGAATTCGATTGTTCGCATTTATTGGGATAAAATAAGACGATGTCTTTGAGCTGATGCTAGTAGCATCAGCTCAAAGACATCGTCTTATTTTATCTCATTGAAACTAACTGCTACTCGTTCGCATTTATTGACTGGTGTGGTAATGTGGCTGAAAATACGATGTGGAATTTCTACACTAACTCCAACTAAATGAACCGGTTGCAGTTATGAAATTGTTTGTGCAATAATTTGCATTAATCTCATATAATTTTACGCTTCAAGTGGTTATTCAAATATATCGTATGTGTTGCAGTATCGGTAATTTTATTTGAAAATATGTTCACTTTCAAAGGAGAGGAGAAACGACCAAAAAAGACAAATGTCATTACATTTCGGTCACATCTTGTTGTTGTTTTATAATACTAAAAGTACACATTTTTCAGCATACGCTATAAAATATAATGATGAAAGTGAGCTTTGCCGCTGGCTCATCGACTTTAAAAATGCATGAAACATTCAACGCATGAAACATATTGTCCGAGACACACCAAATGTTGACGCAAGTAAAATGACGTAGAATCATTGGCAAATATTTTATGTTTGCATTGAATTGCATCTAGTTGTATTGTTTATGTTATTTTTACGTAGCATGCAGTCGATTCGCTTGAAACATAAACAAAAATATGTCCCATTGAATGACATAAACATCCAAACAAACATACGTACACTCATTCACACACGAGTAGTGAATGGAGTAGGTTCAACATATAAATTATGAATAATGAATCGCACAACGACTATGTGAACTGATATAGAAGGATAGAATTGCATTTTGCAGTACGTTTGATATCATTAAATCTCCAATAATAATTAAAATAAATAATTTCCCTCTCGCTGCTGCTACTGTTGTTGCTTTTTTGTTTCGCTTTTCGATTGCTTTTTGCATACTTAGTATTTTACACATACACTTGAGCTTGTTATGCATTGAGGCGTGTACACTAGGGTGTTTTCGGTATTAAATAAACAGAAAATGGTAGTTTTAGTTTGATAGAGCAGAGAATTTGGAATCGATTTCATATATTTTTGTTCGGAATCAGTCCAAGATGCCACTTCCCACAAGCAAAACAAATGTTCGTCGAATTTTGAGGTTATATCACTATTCGCTGAAACTAATCTGATATTTTCCACTTTTTTCGATTCAATCTCACTGCCAGAGATGAATTCTCAATGCAAATATTTATTTTCACGTAATTTTCATTGGAGAAAGTGGCCAAATAGTGGAAAATTCACACAAATTGTATTGCCTCTTTGACCGGTTCTTCAATCATAGAAAAAACGCCGACAAACTAATTTTTTTCACAGAAATTCATTCAATGGGTTTGAAATAGACGATAAATTATCTAAATCCACTAAAATATCCAATCGAACAAAACCAGGAAGGCCAAATTGCAGCAAAGCCAAAACGTAAACAAAAACGAGCTGTCATCATGAAATCTGGGCTTCTTTGACATTTTGAAGGGCTACCAATGCACTTGTGCGAATGAATCACAGTCAATTCGCGCACAGTGATTCGCGCAGATGTATTTTGGTCTTGTCAAACATCAAACTAAGCCCAAATTTCATAATGATAGCTCGTTTTTGTTTACGTTTTGGTTTTGCTGCAATTTGGCCTTCCTGGTTTTGTTCGATTGGATATTTTAGATGATTTAGATAATTTATCGTCTATTTCAAGCCCATTGAATGAATTTTTGTGAAAAAAATTAATTTGTCGGCGTTTTTTCTATGATTGAAGAACCGGTCAAAGAGGCAATACAATTTGTGTGAATTTTCCACTATTTGGCCACTTTCTCCAATGAAAATTACGTGAAAATAAATATTTGCATTGAGAATTCATCTCTGGCAGTGAGATTGAATCGAAAAAAGTGGAAAATATCAGATTAGTTTCAGCGAATAGTGATATAACTTCAAAATTCGACGAACATTTGTTTTGCTTGTGGGAAGTGGCATCTTGGACTGATTCCGAACAAAAATATATGAAATCGATTCCAAATTCTCTGCTCTATCAAACTAAAACTACCATTTTCTGTTTATTTAATACCGAAAACACCCTAGTGTACACTGTACAGTGCATAAAATATATGAACGAGTGGAAATTGTTTGCTTGAGCCACATGGTCATGTGCATAATTGTTTTGCAAACGATGACGCTGAACAACGATGACGACACGACAACGATGACAGGAAAGATCGCACGAGATGCTGCACAAACACTGTAACTTATCGTATATTTAAATGGCTTGCAACGGCCAAATTGTATATGTGAATGGGATTTTATTAATGCATGACAGCTGAGGGGACATAATTCGTTGTCAAGCTTGTTGTAGAATGCTTTCGCAAATTAGACTAAATGAGAGAAAACAGAAGATTGAAATAGAATAGAAGGAAGTGGAAGGGGGAACGAGAGTGGCATTACCATGTTTTCTTCCTCTATCGCTCTAGCCAATGACAAAAACTAGAATAAACTAGACACAACGCATAACAAGTTGCATAATATCTCAAGCAACAAAGCCTTGTGATGAACAAATATGCTGCATGCATTAACCACCCACACTAAAGTAACGGTGAAAATTGCTGCGAGAAAAAAAAACGAACGACCGAAGCCCGAATGAGAGAGACAGAGACATACACAGAGAGAGAAAGCCAAAGAACGAAACACAGATCGGATGTGGCACATCCAGTGGCGTAACTAGAGGGGGTTTTTGGAGTTCGGTTTGAAAACCGAAGTTAAAGAATACGTTTGTAAATTTTTGTCTAGTTTAGTACGATTTTCGTATGTTTTAGGACGATTTTAGTTTTATCCTCAAAAATCATCATTTCGAATAATCCCAGAAAGTCTCCCTTAAATTTTTTAATACTTCTAAAAAATTGAAACCCCCCCGAAAAACATTTCTAGCTACACCACTGGGCACATCCATAAGTAGATACAACAAGAATAGAATGTTATTTTCATTGCAAAAACTCGAAAGAGAAAATGAGAAAATTTGAATTCTAGCCTCGTTTTAACTGCAGAAACAAAATCACGGGCATACAATCTTGGCTACATGTTCTTAAGGTAAACACGATGGCAAATGTGTTTACACGAGCCTGAACCAACATACGAACACACATTCTGGAGCATTTCTATCATTTAAAATAATCAGCTGCATCGTGTGTATGGTGCACACACGTCGTTCGATCACTTGTTCCGACATCATGGCCAACGTTGGCTTTCGCCAATACTCGGAGAGACTCGCATTCACGAGGCAAGGCCAGAAATTTGGAATCCAAATCCCAATGAGTAGAAGAAGTGGGGAAAATATTGTCACGTAGTTTTATTGGCAACGTGCGAAGAAAAAGGAATTCACTTTTCCCGATTTCTGAATCAACAAGAATGCTATAATGCTTCAATTGAATTCCGGGCGCATTTCGCCTCCAATTTCATAAGACGATTGTGTGTATGTGTATTCATCATATTCAACCGTCCATTAAATAGCATGTGGGTGCGAAAAAAATGAAGCGAAAAATTCAAATGCTTTTTGAATCACCGAAACAAAGAGTGCAAAACAAATGAGTAATTTGGAGCGAAAATGTAATACAGAAAAGTTGCGCGGAAAAATGTCAAATGAAAAGAGATAGCTATATAGTTCACTATAGTTTACTTTATAGCTATCCCTTTTCCGCTCATTCATCATCGACATTCTTCCGCGCAACTTTTCTGTATTACATTTTCGCTCCAAACTACTCAAATGAATTGGTTGTCACGTGCTTTTCGATGTTGTACCGTTGTGTAATGTATCAAGCCGCAAGGTGAAAGAGAGAGAGAGAGTTCGTCAGAGGAAGAGCATCCAAAACCAACCAAAACGATTTATAAGTGCAATGCAGAAGCAAAATGGAAGCAATTTCAAATGACACCTCATTCGTCGTGAGTCTGTCTGTTTGCTAAACAAGAGCAATCGCTTGAAATAGCTAGCAAGAAAACATTAGAGACGTTCGAGCGCCTCGTAACGTACAAAAAGGAAGGAAGAGTGTTTGTGATGCGTGAGAGAGTAAGTAAGACGGATTGTCAGATCAAAGACACAAATGAAACTATTTGAATCGCAAAGCACATATGTTTGCTTATTTAGTTGTGCGTAACGAGCTCCGTTGCCCACATTCGCACACTCACACTCACTCACATAGAAATGAGCTCCAACAAATGGAAAGCATGGGGCGAATAATAACCAAGCCAAATGCTAGAAAATAGAGATAGAAGTAACACATCAAATGGAAACTCAAATATGGAATACGATTCACAATTTTGCGCCTTTCCAATTGACAAGACACACACAAACAAAGTGATAGAGAGCCAGAGAGAGAATGTGAATGAACATCGAACATACGGTTCGCAACCGAATGAACATGAATAAGTTTAGCACGCCATAAACGCTTGTGGCATCACTGGCTCAAATTACAACACATACCGCACACACAGCAATCGGAATGGTATCAAACAAACTACACGCTTACAAGTCAAAAACTCTTGGCATCCCCGAAAAATACATTTCGGCTGTCGCATTTTCTTATTCTCTTTCAATCCCCCGCTCGCTCATTCATATTTACAAATCCGCATTAGAATAATAT